AGACCAAACAAGAGGTACATTGGAAAGAAAATGACATATTTATTACAGGGAATCCTCAGTTTAAGAAAGAGTTCTCTTCCCTACCTCTGTCTTTAACTTGAACTTATATTTAAATGGGAATTTATACTTACGAACAGACTACCTATTACATTGGACTTCCTCAAGCTGATGAAGTGTTTAAACTGCACTATGCTGTCAGGAACCCCTTAAAAATTGTTGAAAACAGGCTGTATATGAAAAAATGCACACCTTCACCACTTTGTCAGCCCGGAGAAGAAGAATGCCATCTGCCATATTTATTAACAGGCAGTCAATTTACATCTAGGGTTTGTCTTTAAATTATATGTTTTTAATCTGGATGCTGCCTGTCAGGGGTGGGTTGCTGCCAGCTCAGCCGGATCGGGCGAACCAGTAGTGCCAGTGGCAGGAGACTCCGCCCACCTGCCTGGATGCTTCTGCGCATGCACAGAAGCATTGTGCGTGCGTGAGCATGTGGCCGCGAGTGAACCAGAAGTAAAAATACTAGAAACCCACCACTGCTGCCTGTATGTTTCTCAAATTAAGCTCTGATTCTTCCAAAAACTTTTCCTATTTACTGTATTCAAAATGAACCTCCACACAGTGAAAATCTGGGACATTATTTTTCCTTATCCTTTACCATACAAATCACAGTTATTGTTCCAGGACTAACTTTAAAAAAAATGTGTAATTTAGGGAGAGAATTAACTCAAAAACATATGAAAATGGTAGTGAGAAAATGTCACCCTGTTTCCTTTGCTGTTCCTTTGATTACCTGTTGTTTATTTCGTAGCTGGCTTAGATGCATTCATCAAGTTTTTGAGAAGTGAGTTTAGTGAAGAGAACATTGAGTTTTGGATGGCATGCGAAGAGTATAAGAAAAGCAAAGATGCTTCCCAACTCCCACTCAAAGCAAAGACAATTTATGAGACATTCATTGAAAGAGAATCACCAAAAGAGGTACAGTGAAAATACTTCTCTTAACACAATTGGTCTCCTAAAATCTTAAAGATTCTGTCTGCAGGGAGAGGATGTCAAGGTAATGTTCACGACATACATGTCCTCTTGACTTCTCTGCCCTCCACCCTATCCCAAATCCCAACATTGAAACTTACTTCTGGGAAAATTTGCAACAGCATTGAGTTTTGTACCATTGAATGTCATTTGGAATGAATCCATTTTTGAAAAGGGTTAAGAGTATTTAGAACGTGCTACCACAAGAGTATCCCAGAAGTGAAACAGGAACAAAGAGTGAAACTATCACTTGCTGAGAACTTTATCTGTCTATTTTTATGGCTACTTGTACTGTATAAGAATTATTCTTTCTCAGTCTTCTGAAGCAATAATTACTGGTGCAATTACTACATGCAAGTTATTACTAACACATTGGCAAGATTTCAGATAAGACAAATGAATAAAATGAATCATCAATTTGAGCACAGTATTCAGAATAATAACGGCAATGCTTTAAGTAGATTAAAGAAATTGATTGCAGATTTGTTCAAAAGA